GCAATACCTATCTAATAGTATAAGCTATGTATGTTTCTAAATATAAACTTAATCTAAGCAACGTTCATATTAAAATAAATAGATAACAACAAATTCGTTACACAATCTCACTATTCAATGGTAAAAGAGTAGCCTAAGAATTGGCGGTGGGTGGTGATGACTAGATGCCTTCCCTCTAGTCATTCACTGGTAAATTATGGACGGCTAGCGCAGATGGCCCTCGTGTAGCTTTGCGCGAAATTCATAACAAACCAAATTAAACGTGTAATTAATTCTAGCGGGAGCTGTGGACACAAAATCCGAAAAGGTTTCAATGAACATGTTGATATGCGATTTGTCCTTTTACACAGGTAATGGTTTAATACTGCAACTTAAGTCTCATTTAGCATGTACGCATTTCTGTATGGGCTTGACTAGGAAGTTCGCTTATTCAAACAGGTGACACAGAAAGCTGTACAAATTGGCATAAGATAGTTAGAACTGTATGTAGCAATCAGTTGAAGAATGTAATCTAATGAATCGAGTATAAAAGTGAGGTAGCCACATAAGTCTAGATATTTTTGATCTTGATTCCTGCTGTCCTCGGAATGATTCCTCTTCGCCCCAGCAGCCATGAAAGCTGTAAGCGTGTTACTGGATAAACTATGCTAAACATAACTATTACGGTAAATAAAGATTTTGTTTATTTGGGTTTGTTTGTTTGTTTGGTTTTATTTGGTGTCCGTGTTCGATTTGTTCTTTGTAGCCAATTTCCGGAATCTGAGTTTAGTGGACTTTTTAGAGGTATTTGTTGGATATCAGTGTATCTGAAGTATATAATTGCCTTTATTTCATCGTGGTTAAGCCCATTCTTTCACTAAAACGTTAGTACGTTCATCGTTGAAAGTGTTTGTGTTTCAGCACAATTGTTATTACGAGAAAATATTATTAGGAAAGAAGAGTGATATTTTAAGATAAGTAGTGAAAATGTGAGAAGTTTTAAGACCAATAGTAGATTATTTATTGAGAGTACTAGAAATGTCAAGACCAAGAGTAATTTAGTTGCTGTGAGTAAGTAAACCTAGATTTAAAGACACTGCCACTAATCTAACTGAAAAGGTGATCACAGAGTCCATTTTTTGTTTTATATTTGGCTTTGCCCCTCTGGCCTTGATAATTGCTTGAGTGCACGAGGGACTGAATGTAAGCAGGGGAGAATTCATGATTAGAGAGGGGTTTCTTTCTTAGTCGTCTAGCCAAGAGACTGGTTAAACAGAGGAGAGACTGGACAGTGCACCCAGTGACAGTGACCTCTGAAGTTTTCTGCCTGGCCTTTTGAAATCTGTTAACGGCAGTCGACGATTTTGCAGCTCACGTGTTTCAGAACACGATCGTCAGTCGCTGTGGAAGCTTTTTTCCTACCCTTTCCCTTCCGCCTCTCCACACAGCCAATCTCCCTATATCTCTGCACCCAGAGGCTCACACTTGACTGTTTGAATTGAGTTCTTCTAACAGTCTGCCTTGTCGAAAGTCTGTCTTTCGTCAAAGAAGCAATGACTGCTTTTTTCCATGGATTTAACTCGCAAACATTGGCCATGGTTGTATCATATGCACGTTGTAGCAAATAGTCTTCTAAGCTGACTCTCAGAAAGAAACATTAGTTATAGCAAAAAAAACTGATATAATAATTAGACAGTATTGCATCATCCATGGAACACATTTGCACCTACATGCATTAGGGCATCAAAGCAGATGATGATTCCGAAACAAAAGTGTGAAAAAAATTGGTTTACGCAATACATTTCCCCGCCTCTTTGGTTGATAGGAAAGGACATGTTCACATAGACTGACAGTGTGAAGTTTTTAGCTTGAATGAAAGTAAGAGTTTTGTACATGTGACTGATATATAAAAACATGTCTTACAAACTAGTGAAGTTTTAAGTGAAGGTTGACTGCTAGATAGTGTATATTGAGGGTTGGTAATAGTATTTTTAAACATGATTGATATACAAAACATGTTTTACAAACTAGTGAAGTTTTAAGTGAAGGTTGACTGTTGGATAGTGTATATTGAGGGTTGGTATAGTATTTTTTAAACATGATTGATATACAAAACATGTTTTACAAACTGGTGAAGAGTTAAGTGAAGTTGACTGGTAGATGTTGTATATTGAAGGTTGATGGGTTGATAATAGTATTTTCTAAACACGATTGACTTACAAACATGTTTTACAAACTAGTGAATTGTTAAGTGAAGTTTGACTGGTAGACGTTGTACACTGAGGATTGGTGATCGTGTTTTCTACAGTACGACATTATTTCAAATGTTAACTATTTACTTTTAAATGTAAATCAAGTTATAGCGTGGTGATAAAGTTGGATGTGCCTACTTACTTAAACAACATTATACATGTTGTATAAATTACATGGGATATTGTATCAACTGATTAACAGCATTCAAAAAAGTGAAATTATTCAAATTTAGAGAAACATTCAATTATTTCCAATATATAATCTTGTCTGCCTTTGGTGAGACTAACTGTAAAATAATATAACATTTAAGACTAACAAAATTTTGGGATACTGTAAAGAATATACGTAAAACATATTATATTACTGAATTACGTAATGACTATTGCATCTTTTAGAATCTAAACACGATGATAAGAAAGATGTTCAAACGACGACAATACCAGAACGTCCTGAACCACATGAGAATAAATGGGACAAAAAATACTGTGAACTGGTGACCTCTGATAAAGATCTACATGTATTTTATCAGGGGAAGCCAGTAAAAAATGGTCATCGCGTCAAAGATGGAGGTGATATTATGTTATTTTGTCTTCACGGAAAAACAGAAAACCATCAGCCTGTCGTTAAGAAATTGATTTGCCATAATGGTCAGTGGAATAAGAAGATTCCATCCTGTCCTTTTGACTCTGGTGAGTTTAAATATATATATATATATATATTT